CAATTCCTTTTCACCTGTAATAATTTCATTCTTTCAACTATTTTGAATCACAGAGTTTAGTATCAAAGAAATTAACTTGAAATGAATGAATATTTTATTTAAACTTATCATATCTTATCACTTTGTTATAAATAATTTCAATTCATTTCCGTGCAATAATCCATAAATTTCAAATATTGAAGAGTTCTGTTCATAATCCAAAACCGATTCTTCTGGTCATGTAACATTCGGATTCTTCAAAAGATATTTACAGATTACCGGGAGATCCAGCTAATAATCTTGTAATTATGAAATCGACATCCAGAAAGCTAAAATGCTAGGATTTTTTTTTTTAAACAGGTGTGCACGACAATTTTTCCTTCTATTTAATTGCTATCGTATCCATCCATAATTTTTTGTTTACTAATTAGTCTTTACCATGGACACACTCTGTCACGGGAGAGAAGCTTGCGTACCTTTGTGAAAATGTAAGCAATGCTAGCGGTGGCTCATGTCTCCAGTAGGGTCTCTCATGCCAGAGATGTCTCAACTGAAGAGCAGACAAAGTGTGTGCACGAGCGGGATAGGCTCGTTAGTCTGCCTCCCGGTGATCATCCTAGGAGAAGGACATTCCAAACCCGGGCAGATGAAGCTCATTTAATCTTGTAAGACCATCCATCTAAGAGAAGGACACTCCAACAATATCTATCATTGATATCCTTAGAAAGGTGGCCAGTTCCACGCATGCTATATCTTACCCAAAAAATCCACTGCGCAGGCCGGAAGAATACATTCACATTTGTGGTAGCATGAGTAGAGGACTTCCCAAATCTTTGTTCGTGAAGCAATGATGATGGTGGCAATATTCTGATACAGCAACCACTATAAAGTCAAGGAGAAAGAGCGAGGGAGAGAGAGAGGGAGAGGGAGAGAGAGAAAGAGAGAAAGGAAGCACTTGTCAAAATAAAATTGTTATAGTATCAATGTAGTACACTTTTTTTTTTTTCAATGAATGCACGAAATATCTTCTACCTGTACCATTTCCGTTCCGCTTCCGTAAAGCGGAATGCTAGAATGTTCACAATCATTCTCAATCCTCAACGAAACTAATTGAAGCAATATTAATTTGAAGCTAAACGGCTTTGGATTAAATCTAATAATTAATCAGTTCATTTATTTAAGCACAAATCACTGAAAAATCCAAAATATTTTGTAGAAAAAGCTAAAAATCCAGCAAGTTTTAATACGAATACCGCAGCTGCGGCAATTTTAAGAAAGTAAATTTTTGTAATTTTATGGTTTTGAATTGTTTAAAATTTACAAAGTAAATGAACCCAATTTGAAATTCATTTATATCAGTTATTTAAAAAAAGAAGAAAAAGGAAAGATCTAATCTTCTTTCATTCAATAATATCGAAGGAAATAGCAATAAGAATCAACAACAATTCTGAAATTTCATAAAATTGCTACTGGAAAAAACTATTAAATTTCTTAGAGGAAAATTTCCTGGAAAAAACTCAACTAAAATTGATTAATGCATGATACTTCAATTTAGTGATAAAACAGAAACATCTTTATCTTCTTCATACTTCTTCAAAGGTTACATATAAATTTGAATAATTATAGAATAGAAATGAAACGAAACATTTGAAGTTATACACTTTACAGGTTAATTTTTTTTTTCTGCTAATGAAAAGCAATTCCAGTAAATTTGATGTAAATTTCTGATAAAAATAATAACTTAGAAGGAACGATCAATAATTTCTGAACTTATAAGGATTTCATTTTTCTTGGAAAAAATTTAAAATGGAATTTTATAAGTAAAAAAAAAAAATACTGTAACATTGAAAATATCCAAAGTTTTTTTTGAGCATTAATATAACCATTAATGAAGAATTTCTTTTTTTTTTTTTTTTTAGAGAATAATGGACGATTAAATTATTCTATTCAAAAAGCATTAAAAGAAATAGCCAATTGCGCCCCATGTATTGAAATAAAAAGTTATTTATTGACATAGAAGAAACAACTGACTCGGTAATTGTCAAATATTCATTTATTCTAATTGTTCAACTTTCGTATTATTAAAGTAAATGATACTTTTTAACTATTTAAATATACACAATGAGAATCACTTCAATTTCCGCCAAACAATTTTCCACGTCATCAGCATATCAGATCAGGTTTTAGAATTGAATTTTTTAAATTCATTATTGTTTAATGAGTCAGTTCTTTGATATTAATTTATATAAGTGTATAATGGTGTACCTAGCTGGTCAAGAGATTGCTGTAGACTATGCTATCGGTTAAATGCAAACCAGTGTAATTAATTAATTAATTAATTAATTAAAGGTTGATCGTAATTAATTGCCGATCATTAAAGTACGAAATTTGAACTGAATTTAATGATATTAAAAATGAATCAACGATGAACTTCAACCAAATTTCATTGTTAGAGAGGAAGCAGAAAATCTTATATGAATATTATCTAAAGATGATTGAAAAGCATATTTGCTGCAGAAAATTCCACTAAAATGTGTGATTTCACAAGTATCATACAATGGATGATATATTGACTGCAGTAAACCGGAAGCTAGAAGACTACGGCAAACCGGAAACCAGGAAATTTTAGTATTTTTTTACGCATCCAACTTAGGAAGACCACTAATTGCGCTGATTCTAAACAGTAGCTAAAGTGTCACACATTTGCCATAAATTTTAAAATGAATGCTTCTTCATTTAAAAGAATTGCTTTCTGCTCGAGAGCTTTCCATAATTCTGATGAACTAATTTACTGTATAATTTAAGTTTGCATGTAAATTCTTGCTAAATTACGCTGTTAGCTTTCCGCTAAATAACTGTGACAGTGACCGGAGCGTATCATTGAAAGTGACGTTACAGGATAGCCGGATAAGTACGGGAGATATAGGTAGGCTCTCCGGAGAAGTTTGATTTTCTCAATGCATTTTAATTGCTAATGACAAGAGCAGAGAAGGTAGCATTTTAAGTTACACTGTATATTTAGTCAAAGTCCTTTTTACCTTCCATAGTGTCGCGTAAAATTGGAGCTCTCATTCAGACTTTTTTTTTGATTATACTATGAAATCTTCACTTTGATATTAATATAAGGTAGAAAAAAATTTTAGAAAATACCCGAAATGCAATAGTTATGCATAGAGATGACAAGAGGATGACAAGACCGCAGCATGGGTCCGTCTGGCCGAGCGGTCTAAGGCGATGCGTTCAGGTCGCATTCCACTTCGGTGGGCGCAGGTTCGAATCCTGCGGCGGACAAGCACCATTTTGCAGATTGCTAATGATAATGTAGTTGGATGAATCAAATGGTGGCATTTAATTCTTTCCTGCCTTATCACTTTGTATCTATGAGAGAATTTGACATAATGACCTGTCCTACATTGTCCTATCATACTGTGTTCTGCATTTTATATACTCAAACAAAATTTTTTTTTTGGAAAAAAATATACGATATAAATCATCAAATCGCTCATTACTCATCATTTTGTTGCATTTACTACTTTCTCTTTCGACTTTTTTACTCCCGATTGATTTAGATTAATCTTTGATCTCTTGATTTCATTTCATAGAACTGTAAATTCATGTTTTTCAAGTCCATATCAAATCAAATTTTAAAAGAATACCTCTTTCAGACTCTTTGTGCAAAAAAAAGATTGAATAGTTTCATCTATCTGTGTATACTGGACAATTTTGTTGGCTGTTCATTCTTTTCATTCATTTAGTATGGTATGATTCTTTAATTTAAAAGAAATAGCCATATAGCCTATACATAGGATTGACCTTACAAGGTCATGCTCCAAGATAGATGTAAATACCCAAAATGGAATTCCAACTGCCCCAATCCTATCTGTGCTTCTTTAATTATGCGTAATGCTTGAATGCTATCTCCGCTTAACTTACCATCATCTCTTGCGAAGAATGAATGAATGAATGAATGACTGGTACATAACATTCGTAAACATATACACACACACACACACACACACACACACATACACATACACATACAAATAACACTGACATACATGTCATATATGGGTGGGTCTGTCTATGTGTGTGTATGTGTTGGAGCTGAGGTCCCTGATGGTGCTATCAGCGGAGAGAAGAGGGTGCTGTTTGTAACGCTGGAGTATTCCATCTTGCTTGGTTACTGGCGGTGATGGTAATAGTGGCGGTGATGGTAGTGGTGATGGTGATGATGGTGGTGATGATGATGATGATGGTGATGATGGGAGTTTGATTCAGTTTGTATGAAATGGTTCGTTCTGGTCGCCATTTCTCGTCACCAACAACACTAACACTAACATCAGCTCCAAACTTGCCAGTCTCATTTTGTGGCGCAGTAGTAGCAGCACCATTTTGTCCTTCCTATTTTTGTCACTACTCTATCCAGTATTATTATTGTGGTGCTCATTTTTGATAATAAAATCATCGAATTAACTTAGAAATAATTGTGCTTTCTGATTTATTTATTGTTACTTAATCGAATAAATCATCTAAAGTCATTTCATCATATTTTAAATTAAATTTAGATTAGATTGATTTGTTGAAGCTTCTGTCATCTGTCATGTTTTTGTCATCTGTCATAACCGTTTGGTAGTAATAGCTAATATTGTGTGATATATGGTACAATACAATTAGTGATATGGTATGAATAACTGTGATTTGTTGTGCGCTTTTGTTTTAATATAATTTAATTTTTTTTTTTTTTGCATTTTTATTCCTTTAGTTGTTATTATGATGGCTTAAAATAGGGGACAAGTTATGAAGTGACAACTATTTCAGGTGCCATTCGAGCTCTTCTAATCGATCATTTGCATTTAGTTATGGGAAGTGCCATTGCTTTAAAAGACCTTCAAAGGCAGAAATGCTTTTGTGTTTGGCTGGTTGATATAAATGTCTCCAGCTTGTGGCATGACCTTGTTGATTTAGTAATGGCGTTGAAGTGAAGCAAATAGTAATGTTAGCCTAAAGTTGTCTCTTTTCACACACACACCTTCTCCCTCTCTCTCTCTCTCTCTCCTCTCTCT